GCTGAAATGTTCATTTTAGCCAGAAGATCCCCTGTGCAAAAATTCCAAGGTATAAAAAGTTCTCTGCTTTTAGTGACTTTTGAAAGGCAAGTGAGGTTAAAGTATGGATACTGAAGCGTCATAGTTAGACGGGAAATGATTAAGAGTTTGAGGCATTTGGGGACATCTAAGTGTAGATGTCCAGAAGGCAGCTGAAATGGGGACCCAGGCAGACTAGAACCACAGAGGCTTACAGCCTCTAGTGTCTTTGCATGCCTCACACACTTCCTGCTCTACAGCTCCTCCCTTTCTGATAACTGATCTTGCCCTCCCCCTGCATCTAGCACAGGGACAGGCCCACAACTGCTGAGCAGATCCCAGTGCCATACCCTCGGCCACTGTGACCATTCCAGTAACTGGAAGGTAATCCAGACTGGGCACGCTGGGTTGCACAATGGGCTCTTTTTTCCTCTTTGACCATAAAGCTATGAACTGAGAGCTTTGAGCAAGCACTGCTCCAACCTCGTTAAAGAAGCTGGAGAAGAGAAGTAAGCGTCAGAGAGGAGCCGTGAGAAGTGAAAGACTCAAGGGACTGAGCCACTATGCTTCCCAGCCATCAGAGTAGGTTTAAAAAGAATTCCCTATGGAAAACAGCACGGTGGTTTCTCAAAAAACTAAAAAGAACTTATGAGCCAACAATTCCACTTATGGGTATTACTCAAAAAGAACTGAAAGCAGGGACTCAAAAAGTTATTTGTAAAAATAATTGTTAAAAGCAGCATTCTTTGTCAAGCCAAAGGGTGGAAGCAACCCAAATGATCACCTATGAAAAGATAAAATGATAAAAAAACAATTTCACACAGACTTAAAAAAAAAGGAAGTTTAGACACATGTATGATATCACAGAACGATGCCGCCTATGAAGTGGCTTAAGTATCTCCGACTCAGAGACAAAGTAGAATGGTGGTTGCCTGGAGTTAGTGAGGAGAGAATGTAGAGTTGCTTAATGGGTATGGTTTCAGTTTTACAAGATAAAAACAGCTCTGGAGATTGGTTGTGTAACAGTGTGAATGTATTTATAACTATATATATAGTTATATAGTATATAACTATATATCAGTACACTCAAAAATGGTTAAGACAGTAAATTTTATGTTAAGCACATTTTACCACAATTAAAAACGTTTTTTTCCTTAAACTGATCACATGCAACTAAAAAAAAAAATTCCTGTTGAATAGAAAACTTGGTATCTAAGTATATTCTTAAACCTTGATATTAGAACTGACCAACTCAGGATGGTAAGAATTACCCCGCACAGGCTAGAAAGTTGGCAGTTCCTATCCTGGAGCAAACCAGCTGATTAAACCTGATGTGTTTTGGTACTCACATTACATGCTGACCTTTAGAGAATGTGACAGAAAATGGCAGGATATTAACCTGCTTTGGCTACTTCTTACACATTTTTTGGTACAGTGAGTGCCTCAAGAAAAACAATCTTGGGTATAAACGAGGCTGCCTGAAAGCGGAAACAAAACGATAACCATGACACGAAGGGCCTTAATCCTCCTTTCTATTAAACTCCAACAGTCGCAGTTTCCACTGGACACCAAGCCAGATTAGGAATGGAGATACCTAAAAGGATTCAGGAAAGGAGAATCCCAATAACCCAGATTCCTCAGAAGTATCTCTCCTATAAGTTGTTGCCTACTCCACTCCCAGCCCTGATAAGTCCATAATCAAATGGGCTGCAACACTGTAGAAAGGGGCCAAGCAGCACCACTTAATAATTTCATGAAGAAAAGCAGAGTTCTCAGGCCTGTTGGAATAAACAGAAAGGAGTCACCAGAGCACAGTTCAATTCAAAGACTGCAAGTTTTAAATTAATAGCTAATAGAGTTTCATTAATATTATAAAATAACTTAAATCTACGGACAGGTAAAAAGGCTTCTAAATTGTTTTGCCAGAAAAAACTCCAAGTCTAGCAAAGAGAAGCCTAGATACCTAGTACAATCTCTGGGCACCCAACCGCTCTACACAGAAACAGGCTGCTGAGCTACTGTGGCTGCAGCCAGACGCAGCCTCTCCACTGTCTCCCTCATGGTGTCATGAAAGACCGAAGGCGATGATCAAGGAATTGCATCCCAGCTGCAGAAGACAGAACCAGGGAACGACAGGTTGGCTGATCAAGAATCGCTAATGCAATGGAAAAGTGGTAGCGCTAGTGGTAAAGAACCTGCCTGCCTAATGCCAGAGCTGTAAGAGACGTGGCTTCAAACTGTGGGTCGGGAAGATCCCCTGGAAGAGGGCATGGCAGCCCACTCCGGTATTCTTGCCTAGAGAGGGGCCTGGAGGGCTACAGTTCAAATAGTCTGAAAGAGGCAGATATAACTGGAGCAACTTAGCACGCACACACACGGCTTTCTTCAGAGATGCTGGACTTGCAGCCGGTGAGCCCTACTTTTTCTTTCCCATGCCAAATTTTCTTTCAATTATAAATATCTCAGAAGGTCTGCCACACAAACAGCTAAATAAAACATTCCTAAAGAAAGAACACAAATCCAAGAAATGCTGTAAGAGACTGGGGAAGTTAAGGAGAATCAAATATCTTGGTAATATTTACTATGGCTTTAAAACACACACATACATGTGTGCACATGCACAGATACCCCTAGGGCCTGAGATGATAAAAAGAATATCCAGAAAAATCCAGGACAAAATTTCATACACTATCAATATGATATAGAAAGGAGAGGCCAAAGTATATGGGAGCATGCTAAAGTATTTAAAAGGAAGATGTATAAATTTAAAAGTTTAATAAATCAACTAAGATACAGGATATTCTTAAGGACAACCATTTTAAGTTCAACAGAACACAAAGTCCTAAATAAATGATATCCATCTACATTTCCAGATGCAAATGCATTGCACTTCAATAATGTAAAGGCTTTATAAAGCATTATTACCCCCAGCAATTCTTATTTGCTGTTTAAAAAAAAAAAAACTTTCCTAAAGATTTTTTTGATGACATTTTTAAAGTTAATTTTGTGAATTTTTTTTTTTTAACCATGTCATGAGGCTTGTAAAATTTTACTTCCCTGACCCAGGACTGAAGCTGGGCCCCAGACAGTGAGAGTGCAAAGCCCTAACCACTGGACTGCCAGGAATGTCCCAAATATGTGATTTTTTTAAGTCATTTTACTGCTGACATAAGCCTTTTAAAAATCAATTACTTTTAACATTCTGCATATGCTTTATAATTTTTTGCTCTTGTCTAGTATTTTCAAGACCATGACCACATTTCCTTTCTTATTAAATCAAGCAAGTCCTCTAATACATTCTGACATCCACAAAGCAAATACACTTGCAGAAAAGAGTCTGAATTCATGAGGAAATGGTGACAGGAAACAAAAGACGACAAACACGTAAGCAGTTCCTAATAAAGAAGGGAAAAGAAGAAAGAAAAGGAAGAAGAATATACTAGTAACAAGGAAATTTGACAGTCATGAAGAGAAAGGAAATTTTAAATATAAAAAGCTTTCAGAGAGAAATACTGTAGGAAAAGGTTATATATCATAAATAATCACCTATACAAATGAATGTGTTATTCCCCACAGAGGGCATAACAAGTTGCCATTTAAACAAACCACCTGACAGAGAATCAAATCCAAAAGAAACTGATTTGCGGAAGTGACAGCCTCCCACATCCTAGACAGTAGATTTTGAAGGAAAATGCGGAATCTTAAACGGCTCAGAGGAGACAAAAGACTCAAGAGTAAGGTATCCATCAATGTCCAACTAGGAAATGAAAACAACTCTCAGGGTATTCATAATTGGGAGCTTAATACAGACAACTGGTTACACAGATGGTGGCCTACTGAATTAGCAACAGCAGGAAGCCAATTCCACCCCTAAGCTAGGAAAACAGGGAGGAAAGCAGGGTGCCGGGGTCACCCCGCAGAAAGGCAAGCAGAGCTGCCCAGGGCAAGAGAGAAGCACAGAGGAAATGCGGCGGCCAACAGAGGGAGAGGGGATAATACTTTCCCTTTCTCCCATCCTCCCTTTCGATCTCCTACCAGTGCCCCCCAAGCTCAGCCAGGAGAGAACAGACAAGAAGCAGCCCTTTGCAAGAGGGAGCAGAAAGGAGCAATGACATGGAAGGAAGGTGTCAGAACAAACAGGCCTTGGACGGGCATAAATTCTGCTCAGGAATATAATGTTTTAAAAAACTAATTTCCTGTTTATTTACTTATTTGGCTACACCAAGCTTGGGGTTCCCTCATAGCTCATTCGGTAAAGAATCTGCCTGCAACACAGGAGGCCTGGGTTCGATTCCTGGGTCGGGAAGAGCCCCTGGAGAAGGAAATGGCAATCCATTCCAGTATTCTTGCCTGGAGAATTCCATGGACAGAGGAGCCTCGTGGGCTACAATCCATGGGATCGCAAGAGTCGGACATGACTTAGCGGCTAAAGCAAACCACCACCACCACCACCAAGGCTTGCTTGCAGCACACAGGATCTTCAGCTATGACACTCGAACTCTTAGTCGCAGCATGTGGTATCTAGTTCCCCAACCAGGGATGAATCCCCGCCCCCTGCACTGGAAACAGAGTCTTAGCCACTGGACCACCAGGGAAGTCCAGGAAAATATTTGAAAGTCTAAAAAGTTCAACACTAATTATTATTGTGCAGTTATAAATCCCATACAACTGACCAAACTTGAATTAACAAAACTTTTCCTAAGAAATTGTTATCTTACTTGGATTTAAAGTTTAAGGCTAAAAAAAAAAAAAGTTTAAGGCTAGGTACTACATGTACAATGACTCTAAGACTTCTACAATACAATATTAATTCTAATCAAGTTTCTATAGCTGAATATTACTTTTAAATTAAAAATAAATGTTTTTTTGAAAACTTGAAAAGTCATTTTAAGAGCAAGTAACCTGACAAAAGGGTTCTCTTTTTGGAATCAGGTCAACCTCAAACATTTAATTCAGATGCCCCCCAAAAGTTAAAAGCATACCATTTAAATCTGCATTTTCAAATCTGACCCAGACTATTTTCTCCTTTTCTTCTGTTAGAGGTGTTCCACTGTAAGCCTGTACAGTAAACAGAAACATGTGAATGAAAATGTTTTATAGCACGAATACTACTGATATTCAAAACAAAGAGTAATTGAACCCCTCCAACCTCACCAATTCTACATCTTAAGAAGTGGCACATTTTGTAATATTTTTATTTTCAAAGAAAGCTATTCAGGAGTCTATAATCTTGATCAGGAAAGGGTTTATAGCCTAAGAACCGCAGAAACCTAAAATACAATGATCAGAGTCTACTGAAAGTGTCACTATAATTCAAAGACACTGAAAAAACTAATCTCCTATACCGGTCAACAAATAAAGCTGAAGAAATAAACCAAACTACCACACATATAGATTTAGTTTCCAAGTGTTTATGATCAGGCAATTATACTCTCCCTAAGATTGTCAAGATCATTACTTTCTGCTAACCACCAGTTCCAGGTGGAGGGTGCTGGCCAGAGTTGGGGATGGAAAAAACATACTACTTTTTCAGTCTCTTATCTGGCCTCTAGACCCAACTCTTAAGCTTTCTTACAAGCCCACAAGGGTCACAAAGATAAGCATAAACTACTGTGAAGTCACTGTGAGAGTATTAACAGTATCCACCAGCATTCTTTTTAAAGTGAACCATTTTTAAAATTTTTATTGAATCTGTTGCAATATTGTTTCCGTTTTATCTTTTGGTTTTTGGTTGTGAGGAAAGGGGGATCTCAGCTCCCTGACCAGGGACTGAACCTGCACCATCTGCACCGGAAAGTGAAGTCCTAACCACCAGACCGCCAGGGAAGTCTCCCATCAGTATTCAAAGGGAGTCATCTCTCCACAAACCAAATGCTTCTATTTAAAAGTACCTACATTTTCTAGGTTGTATATACTTGCAAGCACTGAGGATGTCAACAGAACGCTGCAACACGTTCAGTTGTAAAGTTCTACTCAGTTCACAGAAGTTATTTAACATAAACTGTATCGAAAGCTTACAAAAACTACTATCCCACATATAATCTGTGTTATACACAATTTGCTTCAAATTTCCATGTCATTTTACAGCCTTTTTCTGTACTATACAATGTTATTGGCCACTAAAGATATTACTAAAAGACAGGATCATTTTAATAGTAGGTTTAGTAAACAAAAAGAAAATGTTATCTTATATATTCATGTGATTTCAATTGTCTTTGTTTAAAAAAAAAAAAACCTGAGATATGTATAGTACAATTAATTCCATTGGAGAAAAGGAAAATCTGTACTAGAACCAACTAATTCATCTACTCTATCGTCAACCATCTCATCCTCATCTTCCTCTTCTTCCTCTGTCTTGCTCTCTTATCCTTGAATACTCTTCTTGGAAATCCCCTGGGTGTCCAGTGGTTGAGAAACCACCTTCAATGCAGGAGAGGCAGGTTCAGTCCCTGGTTGGGGAACTAAGATCTCACATGCTGCAGGGGCAACTAAGACTCAGTGCAGCCAAAAAGAAAAAATCTTTAGAAAAAAGAAAAAAAAAAAACTTTCCTTATTAAAAATAAAGTTCTCACCTGGGAATAATTTTAGATTATTAAACACAGCACCAAGAGTTCTCATATACCAGTCAACCAATTTCATCTACGATTAACTATCTAATCTAACCAAACCTTACCTTACCATGGCACCTCTGTCAAAACCAGTGACTAACACGGGTGCTTTATTACTAATTAAGCCCCAGTCATTGTTGGGATCTCAGCAGTTTTTCCACTAATGTCCTTTTTCTGCTCCAGGACTCAACCTAGGATACCACACTGCATTTAGGATGATCCCTTTTTCCCTATGTCAGGCTCTCCATTAACCTGGTAAAGCAATAATACATTTGCAAATCTTCTTCCATTTAGCATAAGGCTGCTTGTGTGTGTGTGTGTGTGCACTAAGTCACTTCAGTTTCGTTGCAACCCTATGAACTGTAGCCCACCAGGCTCCTCTGTCCATGGGATTCTCCAGGCAAGAATACTGGAGTGGGCTGCCATTTCCTCCTCCAGGGGATCTTCACGAACCAGGGATCAAACCCACCTCTCCTGCACTGCAGGCAAATTCTTTACTGCTGACCCACCAGGGAACCCTTAAGGCAGCTTATCACCTCCTTAATCAACATTCTCCCAATTCCTCTGCAACATCTGCAGGATGTTCTCCTTTGACTTCTGGCCAACATGCAGCATGAAACAAGGTTAAAAGAAGCTTTTCAGTGGATTGGGATTCTTAAGACTTCTTCTCTTTCCCCTTCGGGGAGACACAAGACTTTCACAAGGCTTGCATACTTTTGCTACCTCTTCAAGTTTTCATCTCCCCTCAGTAGACATACTGCTCTTTACTAAGCATTTCTGAGAAAATTCTATGAAGTTGACTGGAGCATCCTGTGTGCCTTCCTGCAGGTTGGCATCTAGAAGGCACGTGACATCATGTCATTTTGCCTCCCAGCTTTCGATGATATCCTTTATTCATGTTTGAGTATTTTATTGTCAGTGAAGCACAGACTCACCGGGTGCTGATGCAGGTTGTTTTTTTCTTTTTTTTTTCTGATACGTACACACGGCTTTATTTATTTGGCTGCACTGGGTCTTCGTTGCTGCACACAGGCTTTCTCCAGTTGTGGACAGTGGAGCTCCTCTCTAGTTGCAGTATGCGGCCTCTCGCTGCAGTGGCTTCTCTTGCTGCGGCGCACAGGCTCTAGGCACACGGGCTTCAATAGTTGCGGCCCAGGGGCTCATCAGTTGTAGCTGGAGGCCCCTAGAGAGTGCAGGCTTCAGCAGTTGTGAACAGGCTCACTTGCTCCACTGCATGTGGGATCTTCCCAGACCAGGGATCAAACTGGTGTCCCCTGAATTGGTAGGCAGCTTCCTATCCACTATGCTGCCAGGGAAGGCCCCCATTCAGGTTTATCTGCTATCTTACTGCAGGTCAGTGTACTACCACAGAATTTCTCCCCCAGCACTGATTTTTGGCCCTCCTTCAATCAAGATCCAACAGCACTGCTCTCTTATTTAGACTTGAAGCTTTTATCCCATTACTGATACAGGACTTGTTATTTCTCCTTTTATTCCTTATCTGGTTTCTAAAACATATACACAGTCATAAGCACAAAGTTATTACTCAATTTAAAAAAACACAGCAACAATCATTGTAGGTGTGTTGTTTTTTCACTGCAGAGAAAATAACTTCCATTGCATGCCCTTTGTCAAAAGTATTATTTAAATTATAGCAAATTATTCTACAGAGACCACATATAATTTGCTTGACTATTACTGATATTTGGACAGGCTATAATTTGATTGATTGATTGATTTGGCTGCCCTGGGTCTTCGCTGCAGTTTGTGGGATCTGGTCCCCTGACCAGGGATCTAACCCTGGCCCCTGGCCCCCTACACTGGGAGCACAGAGTTTTAGCCACTGGACCACCAGCAAAGTCCTGTGGCTACAATTTTTCACACTGAAAAATGTCAAAATTTCTCACTGAAAAGTTCTGGGCTGTAACTTTTTTTTCTGAGAATTTTTAAGTAAGTTTTCCTAAGTACAATTATTAAATCAAAGGGCACAGCTTAGGGCTTCTATCAGCCATCAATGACATCTGTTAAAACACAGTGGGAATTCACACTATTTGTGACAGCTGAAGAAGCTGATATAAGTCTGACAACACATTTTCTCCCTTTTAGGGATATTTGGAAACCCAGAGAATAATTTTCAGGATCCATGAATTCAGTGATTCCCAGGATAAAGCAGGAGTTGGAACATAATCTCAGCAAAGATGTATCATTTTCCAAGTGGTTGAATGCCAAATGGCAGATTCTGGATTTGTTGTTGTTGTTCAGTCCCTAAGTTGTGTCTGACTCTTTGTGACCCCATGAACTCTGGCAAGGCAGGCTTCTCTATCCATCACTATCTCTCTGAGACAAACTCATATCCACTGAGTCAGTGATGTCATCCAACCATCTCATCCTCTGTCGTCCCCTTCTCCTCCTGCCTTCAATCTTTCCCAGCATCAGGGCCTTTTCAAATGAGTCAGCTCTTTGCATCAGGTGGCCAAAATATTGGAACTTCAGCATCAGTCCTTCCAATGAATATTTAGGACTGATTTCCTTTAAATTAACTGGTTTGATCTCCTTGCTGTCCAAGGGACTCTCAAGAGTCTTCTCCAGCACCATAGATCAAATACATCAATTCTTCAGCGCTCGGTCTTCTTTATGGTCAAACTCTCACATCCATACATTACTACTGAAAAAACCACAGCTCTGACTAGACAGACCTTGGTCAGCAAAGTGATGTCTCTGGCTGTTTAAAACACTGTATAGATTTGACATAGCTATTCTTCCAAAGAGTAAGAGTCATTTAATTTTGTGGCTGCAGTCACTGTCTGCAGTGATTTTGGAGCCCAAGAAAATGAAATCTGACACTTTTTCCACATATCCCCCACTGATTTGCCATGAAGTGATGGAACTGGATGCCATGATCTTTGTTTTTTGAATGTTGAGTTTTAAGCCAGCTTTTTCACTCTCCTTTTTCACCTTCATCAAGAGGCTCCTTAGTTCCTCTTCACTTTCTGCCATTAAAGTGGTATCATCTGCATATCTGAGGTTGTTGATATTTCTCCCAGCAATCTTGATTCCACCTTGTGATTCATCCAGTCCAGCATTTCACATGATGTACTCTGCATATAAGTTAAATAAGCAGGGTGACAATACACAGCCTTGACGTACTCCTGTCCCAATCTGGAACCAGTCCTTTGTTCCATGTCCACTTCTAACTGTTGCTTCTTGTCCTTGCATACAGGTTTCTCAGGAGGCAGGTAAGTTAATGATGCAGAAGTAGATTTTTTTTTTTTGGAATTCCATTTCTTTTTCTACGATCCTTCGGATGTTGGCAATTTGATCTCTTGTTCCTCTGCCTTTTCTAAATCCAGCTTGTATATCTAGAAGTTCTCGGCTCATGTACTGTTGAAGCCTAACCTGAAGCATTTTCAGCATTACCTTGCTAGCCTGTGAAATGAGTGCAGTTGTGGGGTAACTTGAACATTATTTGGCATTGCTTTTCTTTGGGACTGGAATGAAAACTGACCTTTTCCTGTCCTATGACCACTGCTGAGTTTTCCAAATTTGCTGGCATAATGAGTGCATCACTGACAGCATCATCTTTTAAGATCTGAAATAGCTCAGCTAGAATTCCATCACCTCCACTAGCTTTGTTTGTAGTAAGAGTTTCTAAGGCCCACTTGATTTCACACTCCAGGATGTCTGGCTCGAGGTGAGTGCCCACATCATCACGGTTAACTCGGTCATTAAGAGCTTTTTTGTACAGTTTTTCTGTGTATTCTTGCCACCTTTTCTTAACATCTTCTTCTTCTGCTAGGTTCTTGCCATTTTCGTCCTTTATTGGGCCTATCTTTGTATGAAACATTACCTTGGTAATTCCATTTTTCTTAAAGAGATCTCTAGTCTTTCCCATTCTATTCTGGATTAAATGTGGAAAAAAGGGACCATGGGTCATCAAATCTGGTCTACCACCTGTGTTCATTGGAGAAGGAAATCGCACCCCACTCCAGTATTCTTGTCTGGAAAATCCCATGGACAGAGAAGCCTGGTAGGCTACAGTCCATGAGGTGTCAAAGAGTAGGACACGACTTCGTGACTAAACAACCTGTGTTCATAAATCAAGCTTTATTTTAATACAGCCATACCCTTTCTTTTATGTAAAATGCAGTAGTGAGCAGTTGCAGCAAAGACTGTATGAGCTGCAAAACTTCTCTGGCCCTTAAAAGAAAGGGTCTGCCTGATGACTGCACAAGACCAAGAAGCTTTTTTTTTTAAATTTGGCTGCTCCAGGTCTTAGTTGAGGCACATGGGATCTTTAGGTGAAGAATATAAACTCTGTTGCAGCATGTGGGATCTAGTTCCCTGACCAGGGATAGAACCCAGGCCCCCTGCATTGGAACCATGGAGTCTTAGCCACTGGACCACTAGGGAAGTCTCTAGACTATGAGGCCTTTAGGACAGGCACTGAGCATCCCTTAACACAGCACCTGATCGGTGGCGCCTGGTTGAGTAGAGTCTGCTGCCTGAATTTTTGCTTTCTTTCCATAGTCACTAGAATAATGACTTACACAATGCAAACTTCTTAAATGACTATTCTGTTTCTTAGATCCATAACTACATCTTTACTTCCACAGGTACCTAACTCTGATCCCAATCTTCAGAGTCAATTGTATAGCTTATCCCCTTCTTGATGTATAATCCTCATAAAAACTAAGTTAATCTTCCACCTTGCACCATCATAACATTCTTGGCTAAAACCCAATCCATTTTAGCAGCCCCCTATTTTCAATCTATTGCTCAATCCAGTATTCTTATTTCTATAGAAAACTCTCCAACTAGTCCCTCAAAGCCTCTGATCACAGCCTCTCTCTTCCAGCTGACAAAAAACTGCTTGCTACGCAGGATTTCCACAAGCACAAAAGGTGCCTTTGAAAAATTTTATATAGGGGCACTCTAACAGGAAGGCAGATCATCAAGATGTTCAAATGCTCCTTCCTTAGAACTAGCCTCATATCAAGGCTCAGGGGTTAAGAAAAAGGTATAGTTTGTAGAAGACCAAGCTGGATTTTGGCCCTGATCACTCTCTAAGCCTGGGCTTAGAGTCTCTACAGCCTCAGCAACTCTGCTGCCTACCATACCCAGCTGGACAGCTTCCTTCACCATCACATTTCCATTCATTTCAACTGACCCCACTTCCAATGTCCTTCGGAACTTGACTCTTTCACCTTCCTTAGATGTGCATTCCCTGAGCAATTAAATATTCAGCCTGTTACTGCCAGGTGCAGCACTCACTGATATGTTACTACTACCTCTGACTGTTTCAAGCCATTGACTTCCCTACTTAACCAAGTTCCTCAAGAAAAGAAAGCATTTATTTTGCCTTACAGGCCCCAGAGATCTTGCCGTCATGACCTATTTTCATCAAAGTTGACTGAATATAATAAAGGAAGACCAAATATGCCTTAATATTTTCCCTTATTTGAAGAATACAATTGGTGTAATACAATTGAAATCTGGATTTTAAGACTTTTCCAGGACCTTCTCCTAAAGCTGGGACACTGGATCTATGAATGCCCTTTTTCATCACTGCAATTACAGATATCATGGCAATCGGAACATTGACAGCACCAGAGAAAACCAGAACCCTCCCCCTTTAGGAAGTCCACTAACCAGAAACTTCCCAAAGATACTGTTTCCCAAGAATCACCTGAGATTCTTCCTAGAGACACAAGTTACTGGAGGCCGCCTCAGTTCCCCTGAGACAAACTCACTGGGAGATGGGCCTGGAAATTATTATTTTTAACAAGCGTGCCAAGTGTTACCTATGTTAATTGAAGTCTGGGTGACGGTGCACTAGAGATGATCCCAGGAGAGTTGCTCTCATTCTTTATCCTCCCAGTTACAGAGCAAACAGTAAAGGGCTTACTCTCTTAGAGTAACAGACTGTTGGTCACTCAGTTGTGTCCGACTCTTTGCAACCCCATGGACTGCAGCCCTCCAGCCTCCTCTGTGCAGAGAATTCTCCAGGCAAGAACACTGGAGTGGGTGGCCGTTCCCTTCTCCAGGGGATCCTGACCCAGATCAAACCCAGGTCTCCCGACCCTGCAGGCAGGTTCTTTACCATCTGAGCCACCAGGGAAGCCCCAGAGTAACAAGACAAGCTCTAACTGGCATAAAACTACTTCAACATGAAAGTGATACAGATCAGCACTCAGTATTTGGTTAATATAATATCTCGTTAACCAAATGCAAAGCACATATTGCTTATTTCACTTTCAACAGGCAACATTTAACTAAGACAAGAGAAAGATTTTGGAAACAGAACCCAAATAGGCAGTCCCAAGCCCCATCTCTCAACTAGTACCTCACCTTGATTCCTCTTAGGAAATCAAGTCCTAAAGAAACATAATTATGACAACATCAGCACGAAACTAAGGCATATCTAATAATAACAGCAGGAATAGTTCCACATTACCAATGCTCACGATGCTAAAACATCAAAAGTCTTTCTTAAGTTGATGATACTAGTGTCAAACTCAGGGAACAGAATATTTCAGATTTCCGTAGCCAAGAGTAAGACATGCTATTTCCAAAACCACAGAGATACTTACCTGAGGCACAACATCTTGCAGAAAAGTCACTACACTTTCCATATAGGACTGCTCCCTGAAAAAAGGGTGAGATGGAGAAAATTTAACATGACAGCTAAATATGAAACAAGGCAAAGCTCTTTCTACAAGCCTTAAGAAAGTTATTCATAATACTTAAAAAAGAAAAAAGCAACTTTCATCACCTGGTAATTCTGCTAACTTGCTTTCTTAATTTTTCTGAATATGTTTTTAAACACAAATGAACTTTAAATTTCTTTCAAACATTAACTCTTCTTAAAAGTCATGCTTTTTTTTTTTTTGCCTGTGCCAAATGGCATGCAGGATTTCAGTTCCCTGATCAGAGATCAAGCCTGTGCCCCCTGCAATGGAAGCAAAGAGTCTTAACCACTGGATCACCAAGGAAGTCCCTCCATTTTTTTTTAATTGAAGTAGACTCTGGTTCCATTCCTGGGTTGGGAAGATACCCTGGAGAAGGGAAAGACTACCCATTCCAGTATTCTGGCCTAGAGAATTCCAGAACACTGGGTCACAAAGAGTAGCTTCCCTGGTGGCTCAGCTGGTGAAGAATCTGCCTGCAATGTGGAATACCTGGGTTTGATCCCTTGGTTGGGAAGATCGCCTGGAGAAGGGAAAGGCTACCACTCCAGTATTCTGGCCTGGAGAATTCTATGGATTGTATAGTCCATGGGGTGGCAAAGAGTCAGACACAACTGAGTGACTTTCACTTCACTTCACAGTTGAATCACAATATTGTGTAAGTTTCAGGTGTACAGAGCAAGGTGATTCAGTTTTCTATTTTTTCCCAATTCTTTTCCATTATAGGTTATTATAAGGTATTGTATATAGTTCCCTGGGCTACATATTAAATCCTTATTGTTTACTTTATGTCTACTAGTCTATATCTGTTAATCCCATACTCCTAGCTTATCCCTCCCCTTCTCTTTCCACTTTGGTAACCGTAAGTTTGCTTTCTTCCTTTGTGAGTCTATCTCTGTAATATAAGTAAGTTCATCTGTATTTGTTTTTAGATTCCACATGTAAGTGCTATCATAGATTTGTCTTTCTTTGCCTGGCTTACTTCACTCAGTACGATAATCTTTAGGTCCATCAATATTGCTGCAAATGGCAATATCTCATTCTTTTTTATGGCCACATGGTCTCTTATTTTGATATACTGGATTGGCCAAAAAGTTCATTTGGGTTTTTCCATAAGATACTACAGAAAAACCCATATGAACTTTTTGGCCAACCCAACAGATACAACTTTTAACTTGTACCAAAGGAGTGATGACAGAAGACTTGACTAAACAGGATCTTCCTAAGTCAGAGCAGAAGAATGCCCTAGTTAGAGCAAGAAAAACTACTGCTGATGACTCAGTATTCAATGATGTTCTCTTTAAATTGGTTATGAACCTAATCCTAATCCCTTACCTGTGTACAGCAAAATGAATCTGTTTTGATGCAGGTGCAGGCATTAGGAGTTACTAAGAAATCCTCACAGAATTCTTGACATAGGTAAGACATGGGAAAACATCAAAATGCATAGAAGTGAAGAACTACTAAGGACACTGCATGTGCGTGCGCGAGTGCACTGTCACGTCCAACTCTTTGCAACCCCATGGACTGTAGCCACCAGGCTCCTCTGTTCGTAGGATTTCTGCAGCAAGAATACTTCAGTGGGTTGCCATTTCCTCCTCTAGCGGATCTTCCCAACCCAGGGATTGAACCCACGTCTCCCATGTCTCCTGTATTGGCAGGCAGATTCTTTACCACTAAAACACCTGGAAGCCCATATTAAGGATCCTGAAGATATTTCAAATGTGAAATATATGGGTATCAGCAAATGGAGAAAAAAAGATTATTCAAAACACCAAATCAACTTCATTTTAGAGAAATGTGAAAAATTACATTTGAAGGAAACAATGTGAGTTATCCTAAATCCTATTTTTTAAAAAAGTAACATGCCTTAGATACGTATAAACACTGGTCAGGCCTTCCTCTCCAACCTCATTTTTCTCCCCGCTCTTTACCCAGCCGGCTTCAGTCACATGCAACTTCAGTTCCTAGGCCACACCAAGCTCTTCTCTCAATCAAGACCTCTACATCAGCCTTTGCTCTCCATGGATTCCTTCTCGAACTCTTCCCTGTCTTTCAGATCTCCAGCCTTAGTGTTACCTCCTCAGAGAGGCCCTCCCTGACAGCCTTAAATCACGCCCTCCGATGTCACTCTCCATCAGAGCACACTGGGCACTGAGCGCAGCCTGTCATTACTTTATGGACTGGGTCCCCCACTGGAATGCAAACTCTATTACAGAAAGGAATCCCTCTCTCATATTTACCTGTTATCTCCAGAATCTTTAAGTCAATATTTAGGTGCAGAGTAGATGCTCAAGCATTACGTGTTAAAAGAACACTGAATAAATTAAAGAACTTCCAAAAAACACTAAAATTACATGTTGCGTAACGAAAGCAATATATGTGGAATACCATATGGTGAGGCAGGAAGAACAGTGCATAAAGCGCACAGACTCTGGACACAAACTGCCTGGGTTTGATCCAGGTTTCCTTTCTTGGCTGTTATCAAGGAAAATTGGTATCTCTCTGCTTTGGTTTCCTCACCTGTAAAACGAAGACTAAAATAGTACCTAACTCATAGCTAATAATATGCTTAACCTATTGCCATGGTCCTTAGTTAGTGAAGGAATTTACAGCCCTGGGAAACACAAGAGGAAAAGAAAGGAAGTTTAATGGTAAATTATCATAGTATGTATATATTTCTGTTAATCTATGAAGGCAATCTTTATGTAACATGCTAAACTGTCCAAGGGAAATAATCCAAAATGCTACAATTCCCTTATGAACATTTCTGAAAGACTGAAAACAAATTTCATCTCCTTAGCCTGCTATTCAAGGGTCTTGATTGTCCACCCAAACCTCCTTTAAATAGTTCAACTTCCCTAAGATTTCATTTATGAAAACAGCTTGCCTTTCCCACATCTGCTCACTCCATCCCCTTTGCTGAAAATGTGCCCTTGATTCTAACTGCCCAAATTACATTCTACTTTTAAAGTATGCTATAAATTTTAGCTTCTTAACAAAACCTTTTCAGATCTAAAGTACTCCAACTAAATACTTCCACTAAAATATTCCCTCTAAATTCTCATGCTATTTTGCTGGCATCTTTTTTATTCATTATAGTGCTTACAAGTATACACATCTTAAACTACATTAGATTATAAGCTCCTAGAAAGTACAGACATGCTTTGTCAAAAAATGCTTAAAAATATAGAAATGTACTCTCTGTGACACTGACTTTGAAACTTTCTGACTGAGACCTGGAGTGATATATTTTACATCACAATATAGTATTCTTGCCAAGAAAATCCCATGGACAGAGGAGCCAGGTGGGCTACAGTCCACAGGGTCACAAAGAGTTGGACACAACTGAGCACATCCACACACACACAGTAAACATACACATACATGTGAATGAATATATCTATGTGCTTGTCAGAACACAATACTAACCTCCATTGTCTATTATATTCTAGTTTTTAAATGGTCCTGATCAACTAAACTGATTTAAGAAAGTGAAGTCGTTCAGTCATGTCCAACTCCTTCCAACCCCATGGACTGTAGCCTATCAGGTTTTGCAGTCCATGGGACTCTTCAGGCGAGAGTGCTGGAGTGGGTTGCCACTTCCTTCTCCAGGGGATCTTCCCAACCCAGGGATCGAACCCAGGTCTCCCCCATTGTAGGCAGACGCTTCACCCTCTGAGCCACCAGGGAAGCCCTGGTGATATAATGACCCACTAACTGTTAAAACTGAGGTTTGAAAAAACAGTACTCATGTGTTTTTCGTGTACTCTATAAATGTGCTAAACACATCAAATTAACCCTCCAATTATTGCTTTTATTTGGCTTTGGCAATCAATGATATCTGTCATCCTGTAAAGCCAAGTTAAACAGATTTTCAAAAGTAAGCACCGCTCAGGAAAGAAACCCCATTCCTAGTTACTATTCTGAGTAATCTTTCTTTCACGTATCAGATTCATCTGAAATTCGCTTACGTGACAGCCTGAGGGCGAACCACAGCTCCACCAGTACAACGACTGGGTCTTCTGGGGGAGTCTGTAGCCATTGCTTCATTCACAAAACCTGTTTCCAGAATGAAGAGACAGACAGGGGAAAAAAAGGATCATTACTGTTCAGGATAGGAAGAAAGATATATGGTTGCTTGCAAGAGATCCCTTGTCAAAAATACATAAAATATAGGAAAATTTCCCAGCAGTTCCTCTTACACCTGAAAGGGCAGAGGGCAGAATATGAAGAAGTAGACAAAATTACTTTTCAAACTACTGTGAGGTCTTCTTATTTGGACCAAGCCTCAGAACCACAAAACTAGTTAAGACTCTTGTAGGACCAGCTGAGCTCCTGTTAACATAAACTAGGAAGGGATGGAAAGTCTAGCACAGGATCACTTTATAAAACCAAATGTGCTACCTTTGTGAGCCAAAATTAAAGAATTTACTAAACTCTAATGTTGAGATAATAAAAAATATACAAGGTACAGTATTTTAAGACCAAATGGAGCAGTGAAGTAACACCTTCCAAATCAGATCTTTGATAATCTATGAGTAAGACTACATATGTATCCCAATGGGTGTTTTCTAGTCTTCTTGTGGTGATCATTTCACAATATATACAAATATTGAATCATGGATACACTGAAACTAATCTTTTATGTCAATTATATACTTAAGAAGAGACTGAATGGTCACAATTTAACAAGACTTTCAAAATCATATCTGTTAACCCCTCTGCTATTGTAACCTAATCACCAGAGTCTAAGTAAGTAATAAAAACTTATATGACATTAGAAGCCCTTTATCCTTTCCAGTCCCGTCACTGAATCCTGATTCTTGAATGTCTAAAAAACATCTGAATCACTTGGGAGGTTTTAAAAGCATGGAACACACTTGGTTAAGGTTAAAAGAGACAGCAATGTGAAAGATCTTAGGAGACAGCACACAGCCTGGAGCTAATCTTGAAAGCCCCTAAAGCCACCTCTTTTAAACAAGGGGCATTCTATCACCTTAATGGAAATCTCGCCACAGACGATTCCCATCTGCTACAAGCAAAAGACCCTCCGCCCAGCTACCCCAGGGACCCCTTCCTCAGAAGGTACCTTCACCTCCAGCCTCTCAGCCCTCTCATTTCCATTCCACCCTTTATTTCTCGAAACACAGCCTCCCAAGAAACTGTCCTTAAAGACCCTGTCTCCCGAGAACGACGCTCGCCAGCCCCTCAGGCCCCACTCTCCTGAAAGACATCAGCGCGGCGCTACCCACTTAACCTCCAACACCGAGCCGCCACTGCCCCCGGCCGCCCTCTGGCCCCTGGCCCTGCCTCCCCTCCCCCTCCGACCTCCACAGCCCCTCATCGCCGGATCCCCGCCAGCCAAACCCCCTGCCCGCACGCTGCCCGTCCCTGGTCCTCGCCCAGCCTCGCCCGAGCCACACCGCACCGCCAGCCCTCTCACCGGCCGCCCCGCCGGTAAACGCTGCGCTCCAGCTCAGGGCTCAGTGTTTGGAGTCTCCCCCTCGTGATTGACGGTTACCACTTCCTACCACGCCTCAGCGGAACTACCTCTCCAGCCAATCCCAGGAGCACACCGGCCGCGGCCGGGCACCGCCCTCAGGGGTCAGCTTCTCCAACCAGCAAGTAGGAAAGAGGCGGGCCCGCCTCCTGAATTGACCCAATCCGCTGGGGCTCGAGGGAAAACAAAACAGTATGTCGCGTTCGAGTGAAGCCGAGGTGTCAGGTTCGGTTGCGAACGCAGGCAGGTGGCGGGAAGTTACAAACACGTCTGTTTCCCTCTGTGCCCAGCGCCTTAGTGGCCCAGTCACAAAGCGTCATGCCGCAGAAGCCTGTGCCCCTCACTCGGACGTCGCAGGCTAGCAGTCAGGCTCGACACCGGGACGGGTGTGTTTACATCGAATTCTCGCGACAGCTGGTTCGAAGCTCAAAGCACGTGGACATGGCAGCTGCCAATCACTTTTCGCTGGCCACTCAACCATTCCGAACCCGCCTTCTGCCCCGCCCTTTTCGATGTGTTTACCTTCCGGGAGCTGAGGCTGGTTTGCCCCCGGTGGGCTCCCGGGAGCCGGGGTGGTGATCTGAATGAGGGGTGCGGCTGTCATTTTGACTGTTTGACCTAGGTGGTGGACCACGCCTGACTCCTTCCTCACTTGTTTACACTTCCCGTAAGGAACAGATGGAGATCTCCCTGGTGTTATTCCGTCAGTGACGTTTCTTTTATAATAATGATAACATTTATTGTTACGCTGAAGACCTAAGCATTTCATAAGCACTATCAAATATAATACCTCTGACAGTCCCTTGAGACTATGGATCATTAATAGCCATGGGGTTTGTAACAGAGCTGTTGATACCACAGTAAAAATTTTAAAAAGGTTTTAGCACCGTGAGAAGGAAAAAGTTTAGTCGAGAAACTGTCTCACCGGAAATATGCAGTTAATCAGGTGCTGGAGAGATAAATATAGATATAGCCAAGAAACCATCCATTTGATTATGACGCTCAATTAGTGCCAGTAAAAAAGGACACCCAAAGTGATATTTATCAGCCTAATGTCTGAACATTAGGTTGATGAAAGATTTTGAGAAAATTTATCTTCTTCCACTACACAAATGCCCAGCACCATCAGTCTTTTATAAGTCTTTTGCTTTCTACATGAAACACTATAAGGAAGGAATTTTTCCCAATATTTTGAATTATTTTTGATCTTTTACTATCCCTGGCTTACTTGTTGTCTCTGAAAATGTTTTTTTGGTTATTTCCCTAAGGCATGTCTTATTTTCTCCCATGGAAAATTAAACTCTAAAAAAAAAGAAAAGAAAAGAAAATTAAACTCTTCCTAGGCATGAGTAGACTAAGGCTTTCATATTGTTGAATTCCCCTTAACACCTAACAAGCCTGAATACAACAGATAGGTCAAAATTCAGAGTTAGTTAATTAAGTCATTATTATTCTCATGTTGTCTCTGACCCACAAAAAGGAATAAAGACAAAATCCAGAGGAGACCAATAGGTAACAATCACAAGTAGAATAACTAGTATTTGTACAGGTGTTTCAGTCTAAATAACTGTTGCATATGCATTTTTAAACTCCATAACTCTTTCACTAGTCCTCTTCAGTTATGGGAGAAACAAGGAGACAAGAATTATAAACACAAATTCATTCAATCAGTAAATATCTGAACACCTCCTAAGTGTCAGTCATGTTCTGACTGACACTGTTGATACAGCAATAAATAAATCAACCAATGTGTCTGTCTTCAACCAAAGAATTTGCACTCTGATAGGAAGACAGAAATAAACAGACAAAGAGGGAACTTCAAACAGGGTAAAATGCTATGGGGAAAAAAATAAGCCAGATAAATAGAAATAAGCAATAGCTTATTTTAGGTAATGTGGTAAAGGAAGACCTCTAAGGAGATGGCATTTGAACCAAGATTTCAGTGAAGCAGGTTTTAAGCAGCTCTGAGTGAAAAGCAGTTTAGACAAAACAAACAACAGGTACAAAGGCCTTAAGAAAGGAATGCATTTTGAAGAAGAATGGGAAAAATAGTGTGGCTAAACAAAGTGGATTGGGGCTTCTCTGGTGGTCACAGCTAAGACTGTGCTCACAGTGCAGGGGCCCCGACTCAACCCCTGGTCAGAGAGCGGATCTCACACGCGACAACTAAGGGTTCACGTGGCTGCAACTAAGAGTTCTCGTGCCACGATTAAGATCCAGCATAGCTAAATAAATGTGTTCAAAAAACCCCAAAGTAGATTAAGTAGAAAATGATAGCAAACTAGTTAGGAAAGGTAAAGTGAAGTGAAGTGAAGTCGCTCAGTCGTGTCCGACTCTTTGCGACCCCATGGCCTATAGCCTACCAGGCTTCTCCGTCCGTGGGATTTTCCAGGCAAGAATACTGGAGTGGGTTACCATTTCCTTCTCCAGGAGATCTTCCCGACCCAGGGATTGAACCCGGGTCTCCCACATTGTAGGAAGACGCTTTACCATCTGAGCCACAAGGGAAGTCAGCAGTGGCCAAATGGAGTATAGTGTATAGAATTATAAGGAGTTTTAGTTTCATCCTAGGGTGGGAATCTATTGGAAGACTTCCAGCTAGGAAGTGTCGTGATCACACTTACACGGCCAAAAGACCATTATACCTACTAAACAGACGTCTTTAGGGAGGGCCAAGAGTGGAAGCAATGGGTCAAGTAAGGAGGCTATTTCAAGAGACCAGATGGGAGAGCTATCTAGAACTGGGGCTAGAAGTGAAAGAGTAGAGGTGATAAGTAATCAATTTCAGAATATTTTGGAAAACAGAATTGAAAGAACTTGCTAATGGGTTGGATGTATAAGAGAAGGGAGAGAGAGAATCAAAGATGCTGCCTGTGTTTTGGGCTTGAGCAACTGAGTAATGACATTTTATGGATCTGATGAACCCTGTTGAAGTCATACATTTTTTAGTGGAGGAGAATTTCTGTGACTTGGTTTCACCCTTTGTAAATTGTAAAAAGAAAATTATGCTCCTCCTAAGATTTTTTTTAGTAATGTGATGGTTTGGTAGGAGGTATGTTTTATTTTGTTATGTTGTTTATTTTATTGATTTTTTTTGGGGGGGGCATGTGGGATCTTAGTTCCTAGACCAGGGATTGAACCTGTTCTCCCTGCAGCAGAAGCAAGGAGTCCCAACCACTGGATTGCCAGGGAATTCCCAGTATATTTTTTTAAGTTTTAAAAACTTTGAAAAGTTTAATGCTGGTACTGTTTATTTCCATATCAGCTGATACAATTTACATCATGTTTTATACTATTTCATCTTTGCAAAGACATCGCATACACAGAAATACATATTCAATAACTGGAAAATATGGAATGCTTCATTAATTTGCATGTCATCCTTGTGCAGGGGCTATGCTAAACTCCTCTGTATCAATCCACTTTGAGTGTATGTGTTGCCTAAGCAAGCATCAGCCTCTTGGGATATTTATGAGGTGTAAATAAATTTAAAATTCTTGGGACTTGCTTGGTGGTGCAGTGGTTAAGAATCCTCGTTGCAATGCAAGGGACGCGGGTTAGATCCCTGTTTGGGGAACTAAGACCCCCACATGCTGCAGGGCAACTAAGTCTGCAAACCACAACTAGCGACCCTGTGCACTGCACGATGGAATGAAGATCCCGTGTGCTGCAACTGAGACCCAACACAGCCGAATAAATAAATATTTTTTAAAAAAATAAAATTCTCAGAGCCAGTTAGAAATGTGTACAAAGTAACTAGTTCTTGTCAGTCTTACAGGATTAGAAAGTTCCAAGCCCTAGGACCTACTTTCCTTTCTTACTGAAGCTTTCCTGCCAGAACACAGTAGCTTGTTATCTGCCTTGAATTGGAAATCAGTTTGCATTCCCACCTGTATATTTATTCATCCTTTTATGTAAGGCTTTGGTGTGCAATTCTCAATTCTTTAAGAGACGACAACAGACTTGGTTTTCCACTGTTATGTGAGAACATTAAGCCCCAGCAACTCGTCATTGCCAGAAGATAAAAGTGCTACAGTAAACCAAGAAAACAACAACAAAAAAAATCAGCTATTTTGAATTACTCCATTTTTTTTTTTTTTCTCCACAGAGATGGTGTTCAATTCACTCATGAGCCTCAAATAGAAAACAGAATTTGTGGTGATTGTGTTTTAACTTTTTAGCTGTGCTGGGTCTTCACCGCTGTGCCTGGACCTTCTCGCTGCAGCAAATGGGGGCTAGTCCCTAGCTGCAGCACGCGGCTTCTCTTGTTATTCAGCACAGACTCGAAAGCACTCGGGCTTCAGTAGTTGCAACTCTCGGGCTCTAGAATGCAGGCTCAGAAGTTGTGGCGCATGGGCTTAGTTGCCCCACAGCATGTGGAAGCTTCCCGAACCAGGGATTGAGCCCTGTCCCCTGCATTCACAGGAGGACTCACAACCAACCCGACCACCAGGTAAGTCCTGTGGTAATCATTTTTTGAATGAACATGACTTGTGGGGGGCTTAGTACATATTGTTAGTTCATGAGTCATTTCAGATGACTGGGTCATGGAGAAACTTTTCAATAGTCTCTTCTTTGGATTAAGCAATCCCAGCTGGGAAACTCATTTTCAGTGTAAAAGTAACTTCAAGCTAGAGCCCTGTTTTCTTCCAGGTGCCATAATGGCCCATTGTAATAAATCACTGATTACTAAAATCCCGTGGCCCTGCAGTCCAGAATCAAAAGTTTGAGATTTGTCAAGGAACTATCCATAAGCAAGCCAAACATCAAGATCAGTTAATATTTTCTCCTCTATTTTTGTTTGGTAGGATTAGAATTCTTTTTTTAGCCTCAAATGAGCCATTGCCTCACTTGCTTTGGCCACAAAAACACTTGGACAATACTTATGTGATTTAAGCAGTGGTGAAATAATCTGATTTCACATAGAACTATGGTGAACATTAATATTTAATTGTCAGTCAAGTATCAGGAAAAACAAAGAAGGAATTCCCTGGCAGTCCAGTGGTTAGGATTCCACACTTTCACTGCCAAGGGCTCGGGTTCAGTCCCTGGGAGGAGAACTAGGATCCTGTAAGCCTGGAGCAGGGGCCAAAAAAAAAAAAGGAGAAACACAGAGGTTAAAAAAAAAAATCGTGATCATCAGTTTTATCTCTGTGGTTGGGCATCTTGATAGCAAGGGTGATTGTCCATGTGTTCAGGCAGGACAGATACTTTAAATCACCTACATACAAACCTGCAAGTTGTGAACTTTCAAAGATGCAAACGTGCATTTGTACATCTAATAAGGTAAGTTAGTTCACGTGTCTGGTATATATTGTGTGTGTGTGCATCCTCTATAAGTGGTTGTGCTTTTGCATACTTTACTGCACAGTATTGTATAGAATACAGTAATACAGTATCTTTATTTCACACCCAGCAAGTCTGGAAACGAGTGTGAAAGCAGCAGGGATGTAGCTGGTACTACCATACTTTTCAAGGTACTGTACTGTAACTTTAAAAATGTTGTCTTTATTTTTTGTGTTTATCTGTATTATTTTTTGTGAAAAGTATTATAAACATACTACAGTACAGTACTGTAT